CAGGCGTCAGCAACAGGGATTGAGGATTTTAATTCAGACAAATAGTGAAAGAATAGCATGCATCACATATATATATATATATATATATATATATATATATATATATATATATATATATATATATATATATATATATATATATATATATATATATATATATATATATTATATATATATATATATATATATATATATATATATATATATATGAAAATTTCGAGAGTTAGTTCAAAAAAAAACAATACCTGAAATATAAAATGACAATAGAAAGCCGAAGTTATTTGAAACGTTTCGTTCAAATGGACTTTCTTAAAGCAAAAAATTTTGAAAAAAAAACATTTTTCATTTTTAAAACAATTTTTTAATTTTTTTTTGGTTTTTCCTTCGAGAAAGTGGCACATTGAACGAAACGCGGAATGCTAAAAAATTTGTGAATTTAATTATTTCATATATATATATATATAATATATAGTTCCAGGTAAATGAAATGCTATTAAAGTCTTTTATCGAAATTATACGCGTGTTAGCCTTCATAATTTTGATAAAAGACATAAATAATTACCAAATTTATATTATATAGGTGTAGATTTAATAGTATTTAATGTGATTAGATTTTGTAAAAAATATATCGTTGTCACAATCCTATCGTTTGGTTTTTTTAACGTTTTCTATAGAACTATAGCCTATCAATAGTTTGGAGTGTCTTTATTGTTTATTTAAATTTTATTTTTTATATAAACAGTAGGACTATATTTTTACGTCCGAAAAGTTGGATTTGTGAAACAGGTTTTTAGTCACACACCAACCCTAGATATATGTGTATTTATTAATATATATATGTTCTTAAATTTTTTATGCAAATTAATATTTAAATTATTTTACTTTAGGATTAATTTATGTGTTCTATATTTTAAATAACATGAGGTCATGAATTTAACAGTTTTCTTTCAATTTATTCATATTTTCATACTTATGTATGTTGGTTTGGAAAAGAAGCAAATCTTTCAGGAAGGAGATATTTGAAAAAATCCATTGTGCATCTTTTACTATGATTGGTCCAAGTATATGAGAGTGGCGCTATTGAATATTAGGTTAGAAAAAATGGACATTGAGGTTGTTGTTCTTCCCAACAGTTCAGTCTGAAGGGGTTAGCCCTCTGAGCCCTGACCACAGCTTTACCGGTGGTTTAAAAGAAAATGACACTTAATATCCAGCTAAAATTGAACGGTTTTTAAAATTAGAAATTATTTTTATATTCTTTATACAAAAACATTACAACAATAATTTTTAATGAATTTTCTCACGAGCAATGACAAAAAAATATGGTTAAAATTTAAAATTGGAACACAGGGCATTCAATTAAAAGTGCAATTATTCATAACATGGTCAGGAAGATTGCATGAATGCATGAAAATGATTTCGAAAATCTTACATTTGTTGACCTTAATATCAAATTATAATAACTCTCTACAATATTATTGAGCACTTTAATCCATATATATCACACACACACAAAAACTACACACACACACACACACACACACACACACACACACATATATATATATATATATATATATATATATATATATATATATATATATATATACAGTGCTGTTCGATAAAATTTGACTCACCTGATTTTTTTACTTAAAATTTTTTTCGCCTATTGTTTTGGGGGGGTCAAACTAATTTTAATCTTACTAATATAAAGACCCCTTCCCGACCACCTAGTAAAAAGTTTACTCATCCCTAAGGTATTCTATTGATAATTATAATTTTGGATATAAATGAGATTTAGGGAAAAAACATGCAAAAAAAGTGACTCACTTATTTCCTGCAACTAGTAATCAATAGAAACATAACCGAACAACTTTAAATAAAGAATAATAGAGGTATAATTTATTTAGAATAGGTAACATTGTTTGAAATATTGAATAATCTATGGGTCCTCCTTTATTTTGAAGGACCTTTTCAACCCTTTTTTTCATTAACTTGATTAGGTTCTGGTTCTCCAAGCATTGAATTCCATTCGGATATGAAATTCACAATCAAATCCTTTTTGTTGCTCAACTGCTTTCTCGAGAGCCCGTACTTTATAATGCCCCGTAAGTTTTCCATGGGGTTGATGTCAGGAGATTGGGGCGGCCATGTTATAACACTCACCTGCTTCTCATCAAAGTATTCCTTCATCAATTTTGATTTGTGACAGGGAGCATTATCCTGCATAAAAATGAGCTTGGTGGGGTCGATTTGCACCCTTTCAGCAGAAGGGAGCAGACAAGACTCTAAAATTCTCTTGTACTGCTCGCTCCTGAGGGTCTTTTCAATAGGTTTTAAGAAACCAGTTCCATGAAAAAAAAAGCATCCCCAGAACATTATACTGAACGGATGCTTGACAGTACTTACTGCTAAATTCAAAGAGCTTTCAAAGCTTCTTCTTCGGATTTTAGATCGCTTATCCTTTGAATTTAGCTCAACTTTCGTTTCATCGGAGAAGAGAACATTTAGTAAAAAAAATCAGGTGAGTCACTTTTATCGAACAGCACTGTATGTATGTATGTATGTATGTATCTATATCTATCTCTCTAAATCTATATATATATATATATATATATATATATATATATATTAAGATAAAAATATAGTAATATGTCAAAATTTTGGGAAAAAATCATCAATATCAGAGATAGAGCGTATGTAAATATAAATATAAAGATGAAATGAACACAACACTCAGAGGCGACAGGAAAACACTATTTTAATCGTCAAAGTCGATATATATATATATATATATATATATATATATATATATATATATATATATGATGTGTGTGTGTGTGTGGTTGTGTGTGCAAAAAATATATATTTTAAATTGTGCTATATTTATGGGATAAAACATTCAATATCAGAAATAGAACAAATTAAAGATGTTCTCTGAACATTGAAGTCAACACATTTAGATATAATTATTATACGATTGCGTCTCAAAATGAAACAGTTGTCGCCTCAAAGTGTTGACTAATGTTGAGAGAGAGAAAAATTTTTATGAAATTGTGATAAAATTAAATGGAGACATTGACCTGTATGCAAAATCGGTTTCTACCAAGACGGTTTCTTCAACTAGACAAAGCCATCTTGATGGAAACCGTGGTTGCAGAAGGCCAGTTTTTCGGAAATTTTATATCTTAACTTGCTCTACATTTTCGTTTTATGAAAATTGTATTGAGCAGTCTTTTAATTTAGCTGTTATTTTGCAAATATTATTTTTGCCAAACATCGAATTTATATACATATATGTGTGTGTGTGTGTGTGTGTTTGTGTGTAGTGTGTTTAGTGTCTGTATATATGTGTGTGTGTAGTGTGTGTGTGTATAGTGTGTGTATATATGTGTGTGTGGGTGTGAGTGTGTGAGTGTGTGTTACGAACTTCATCAATGTGTGTACATTTATATTCTAGAGTAAATCTGTTAGAGAAAATTCTTCAAACAGACGATTTAGGAAGGTTTTTTAATTTGATGAGAAATTAACTGAGTTGTTGTGCTGAATATGACATCCAAAATTAGAATGACAAAGCTGTTATATTTTTATACGGTATTATTCTAAGAATAGTCTACGTTAGTTGACGCTCTGTTGTTCTTACCGCCAAGGTAAGCGAAGATTTCAAACTAAAAGCAATTAAATAGAACACCAAACAATGATCTGCTTATAGACTTAATCAAACCATCTAATTCGGCAAACACTTATTTCTTTACACATTTATCTCTTCATCTATATTTCGTCTTCTTTCCATGCCTTCTTTTATATAACGATTCGTCGCTCTTTAATTTTCCTTTCTCTTTGGATGTTTCTTTATAACTAATCTTCAGTTTCAAACAGACAGGCTGGAACAATTTGGTGAGAAAAATTCACCCGGGACATCTTTATTCCAGACATATCTTTCATTAAATATTCAGAATTTTTTTTTTCTCTTAACTCTTGATTACGTCTGCAAGCTTTTCTCAGACAAAGCTTTTCATTATTGAAAATTATATTTAAAAAATGATTATTGGCAAACTTTGATCTTCGTGCCCGAAAAAAGACACTGTGTCAAACGAACGGTTTTTTCTCCTTGACACCATTATTTTAACTACCTCAGCAATGTATATTATTTTAAAAAGCGATGATTAGAATTGTAATAAAACCGTAACATATGAAAATGAATTTATATATTTTTTGTTCTTGAGAAAATACAACAAAAATAGTAAACACTATTTATTTATTAGATATTTTATTTATAAGAATAAATTAATATTTACAACATTCTAAAAACTAATACAATTAGAATTAATGCAATGCAATATTTATCATTTACCCATTTATAAAGAAATAAATATAAAAACTATTTTTACTCATAAATTTCTAAACATCTACTAAATTATTAAAATATGTGAAGCAACTATAAGGAAGTTCTTGTTATTTACCATTTTATAAAGTTCGAATCGATTGGCAATTGTCCGACGTTTTTCCAATCTTATCAATAAACAATATAATAAATATATAGTGTAAATTAACAATCTAATAAGTATTTACTCAGATTAGTGTAGTCATGGACAAAGTGTGGCCCTCGGGCTTCAAGTGGCCACTTTGGCTTACTACATAGCACCCTTAATTATTTTTTAATCATGTCGCCCAAAGCAAGACGATAACGTCACTAGGACGCAAAGAGGTTACAAGGAGTGAAAGAGAATGGAAAGATTTTAAGAGCTGAAACTCAATCCTAAACAGGGAACAAGATTAAAATAATTCTGACTATTTAACCCATAGCAGGGAGGAGAAGAGGTGGATTCACACTTTTCCCCAAAGTATTTGCATGTAAGGGAAAATAACGAACCCGACAGGGATTCGAACACGGCTCTCTGATTTTTCATTCCAAGCCATTATACATTACGCCGCAGGCGCATCCAAGCGGAAAGGCATCTGTTATACCCGAGCAGTTACCCATTCACGTTCAACGTTGCTTAACCTAAGTGATCTAATGAGTACGAAAAAAAGGAAGAATGCAAAGAAAGAAAGACAGAAAGCAAGAGTGTGAAGCTATAAGGAAAAAAGAAGAAAAAAGTGCGCGTCAATAATAAGAAATAAAGAATGAAAAAATGTTGAGAAAAAAACGTTGGAAGAAGCGAGGAAAAACGAAGAAAAAAAGGAAGAAAATCGGAAAGAAGATCGCATTTATTTCCAATGTGTTTCAATTTTTTTGCATTTATTTTAATCCCCTGTGCTAGAAAAAAAATGGAAATAAACTTATTCAAACAACAGATCCCTTGAAGAATAGATAATTCCAAGAAACTTCGAAGTCGGGGAAAACAACATCAAAAATTGATATTTACAGTTAAGTAATTTTTCTGGCTATAATAATATCAATGCTCTATTTCTAATATTAATATTTTTTAATATTGAGCACTATATGAAAATATAACTTATTTATTTTTGAACTATTTTAATATTAATTTCTTAAATTTATATATATATATATATATATATATATATATATATATATATAGATAGATTTTCATAGATTTATAAATATATTTTGTGAGCCAGACAAACAACCCAGGTTTCACCTTTTTGGATATTTAAAGGGGAGGAAATATTGGTTAGGTTTGTCTGGCTATAAACTAGTTTTATCTATTTCTGCTCTACGGTTTTATTTAAATTCTTTTAGTTAGTTGTTTACTCGTGTTTTTTTTTTTCTTTGGGCTTTGAACCTGTATCTGTGCGATTTTTTCGACTTTGTTTGATCATGTTTCTAGCAATTTTTTTTTTTTAAAACTCGAATTTTTTTCCTTTTGAAGGATTGATTTGATTATTGGCAAATCAAAAAATTCGATGGTTTTTCGAAACGAGTATAGTTACCTATATATATATATATATATATATATATATATATATACAGAATAGATATGTAGAAATATAAATATACGCATTTATGGAAATCGGAAGTGAGCAAAATTAAAACAGGAGTTTATAGACGAAAATGTTCACGGGAAACCGAATCGCAAAAGATTAAAGCAAAAAAAGAAAAAGGTAGACATTTATTACTTGGTGAAGTTGTTGGAAATATCCCGATACGCTTTGCGTTGTTTAATTAAATTGCTATTGACAACGACGTTTCTTTTTAATTGTGCGGCGCTCAGAAAATACTTAATGCCCAGAAACCAATGAACCAGTCTCTATCATTCTCTCTTCTTTAAAACTTCCTACTTTTTGAAGTCGCTGCCATTGTTACCAGTTGATTTCGACCGACGCCAGGTCATTTCGTGTCTTTCTGGGTAATAAAATAATTAATAAAGGACTTGTTACAGCGACGAGAAATACGCGACATCGCAGAAAGTATTGTGAATTCGTCGATACAGTCATACATTCAGTTACAAAATATACATATTGGATTGGAACAAAATTTCGTTGGGTTACTCTTTAGGTGCTTACATTTCACTCGTGACTGAAATATATACCATACATATTCTAAAAGGTGACATTTCTATGTGTTTTTAATAGGATTCGTGTTTGGATTGTAAATTACAAATGTTTTTACGTTAAAGGTGAAAATGCAGAAAAATGTCATGCATTTTTGTCGTTTTATGCTTTCTTTTATTTTTTTAAGAAAAGACAGCATACAAACAGCAAAAACGTTATTTGCCGTTTATAAAGATGGTGCCATAGCTGAAAGTAATGTTTGTAAGTGGTTCGCTTTGTTTGGCGGTGGAAATTTTGATCTGGAAGACCGAGAACGTTCTAGCAAGCCTGTAGTCGTCGCTGATGAAAAAGTTGAAACCGCTGATTAAAAATAATCCCGATCACACGACACGGGACATCACAGAGATACTCCATACACCCACTGATACTATGAGCGTTGTAAGACAACACTTATATATGTGAATCACTACGATATTATTAAATTATTATATATAATTCTGTTATATTATTATATGTTATTATCTATCTAGCTAACTTTTTATCTTCACATATATATATATATATATATATATTTACAAAAGATTATAATAAATATATGTTGAAATCGCTATACAAAAGATTTCATGTTGCAATACTATGATTGATGGTAAGTAATTGGTGATTAAATGATTAAATTTGTGTAGCGATTTCAACGTGATTTGATAATAATCTTTTTATAAAAATAATAATAATTATATATTTCTATACGTTTTATTGAGCACTTTTTTAAAAAGTAAAATTATACGAAAAAATGGAATTTTATCCGTCTGTTCTTCCTTATATATATATATATATATATATATATATATATATATATATATATATATACAAAACCCTGTTTATCCGTGTTTTTTCTTTTTTAACCCCTTCCCAATCCTCTTGGTTGTTTTTTTTTTTGTTTTTTTTTTTTTTTTAGTCACATGGTTATGTTTTTTTTTTTGTTTATTGACTATATATTCCGTTCTTTACCTTTTTAGCCAGCCTTCCCTAACGATCCGCTTAGGTGAAACCTTGTAGGTTTGACTGGCTCTCTAGATTTTTAACAGGTCTACTCTACTCATTGTATTGAGCACTTTATTTAGTTGTTTAAATTTACTGTATTTTTTTTTTTATTTTGGGCCTTGAACTCATATGCTGGATGATTATTTTCGGTTAACGTACATGTTTTTGGTTCTTTTTTTTTTTATACCTTTTTCCACTTTGGTATTAAAAATTGTTCATTTGCAAATCAAGATACCGAAGGTTTTCCGAGCGAGTATAGTTTCTTATATTTTTATAAGATTTCTATTAAATATATATATATATATATATATATATATATATATATATATATATATATCGTCTCGATTTATGTGAGAGTCATCGCTATTGCACTGATTTTATTAAGCTTTGTATCTATTTTGAGCGTATATATATATATATATATATATATATATATATTTTTCGAATTCCAGCCGAGTTCTTTACATGTACTTACTCAGAAATATACTTGGGAAACGTATGAATACATCTCTTCTCCCCCAGCTATGGGTTAAATATCAGACTGGGTCCTATCACCTTTTTGGTAAACATTCTAGTGAATCCATCTCACAGCAAGTCTGGGTCACACGCGGTGATGCATCGTGAATTTTACGCACAGAATTTTAAAATTTTCAAACAAAATTTTAATATTTTGCCGCCGGAGGAGCAAGCATTTTATATTTTTAAATCTATAATATTGTTGTAAGTTAGGAAGGGTTACTGAATGAGGAATAACCAAAACGGATGTTGGAAATGAAATGGTAATCTTTATAACATTAACAAAATACAATACTCGCCAGCGACGTGAAGTAGGTAAACCACTGATAGTGGTGGAGTACTTAGCATATTACCTCCACTTACAATAGTGTGCAACGTATTTATCAGGATTGGGATATGCTTCTTATTGTCCATAGGTACAGTATATAACAAATAATAAAATAAATCAAGTTCACCACTGCAAGTCAATAAATCTACTGTGACAAAAGTTTTATTGGGTGTGGAAGAATTAGAAACAGAAATATTACTAATGAGCGGGAAAAAAATAGTAGTCAGAAGGACAGTAGATAGAAATTGACATTGCTTTTGGATTTTAGAAAATTATAGTTGGCTGGACAGCATGGAGCCGGAAGGGAGCTCCTAAAGTGAGACGTACGACAAAAGAAACTGTTAGCAAATAAATTACTACTAACACGTCAGACAAACAAGACCCGTGGTTAGAAAATGCTTGTACACAACATTTTATGATATAAGCAAGTAATCTTTGTTTCAAATCAGATTAACTTAACTTTAAATTTGCCAATTTTCCTCAGATAACGTTTAAAATATATATTTTTTATTTTTGCAAGATTTTAAAACGGAAAATTAAGTTTTGTTTACAAATGTCTAAAATGGCTGACTTAATCAATTTTACTGAAAAAAAATGACGTCTATTTTAATCAATTTCTGTCTGAAATACACCGAAGTATTTTGCTTACAGGGTATAGTAAATTTATTCCTTTAGCATTCATTTAAAGCTAAATCGAAAGCTTTAGCGACACATTTTCATTTTTAAATTAATTTTGAATCTTACGTACACCCAATTTGTGGAGATACCTATTCTATTATCATAATGTAGGATATTTGATAACAAAATTGATGGAAAAATAAACACAAAGAAAAATTAAAAAAATAATTTTAAATTTAAAATGACACATATGTAGTAAAATGCAGACATGAAAACAAATTCTTTACTATCTTACTTAAAAATCGAAACTTACAAACGAATATGAGAAAAAAAAAACAAATAAAATAAAATAAACAAAAAATCTAAAGCAATAAGTAATACAGTGGAACCTCGGTTTACGAATTTAATTCGTCCCTGAAGGCCGTTCGTAACCCGAAATGTTCGTAAACCGAAACTATTTTTCGTATGGGAACCAATGTAGAGGAAAAAAGTCACAGTACAATAAAAATGGAAGAGAAAAGCACGCCACAATACACGAATGTATAAAACACTGCGGTAGACTCAGAAATGATTCCGTTCGGGTTAACTCAGTACGGAAATGTTTTTCGAGAACTGAAATTTTGTTCAATAACCAAGGCATTTTCATTTCGAATTTTCCGTTCGAAAACTGATTTGTTCGACACGTTCGAGAATGAAAACTGAGAGACCCTAGCATATACTATATATATAAAATTTATTGGTATAAAAATATAAAAGGGATAAATAATGTCGTTTTTTGACGTATTTTTAACGTCAAAAAACGACATTATTACGTCATTATTTTGCACCAACCTAATAATAAAGGGAAAACGGTTCCCGGAGAAACTTGCACGGATTTTTTATTAGATATAAGTATATTGCTATTTCCTTGTATGTATGTTTCTGTTTTTTTACTAATATGTATTTTGTATGTATGTACATTTTGTCATTTGTTTTATATACAATGGATGTGTATTTAAATGCATGTATCTACAATTAAGTGAATCATAGGTGTGTGTAAAAAGGTATATTAATAAGAATAGCTAGGTTCACCTATCGTCCGGCTCGAACTTCTTCTTCTGTTAATACTAGATGTCCATCCCTTGTTTCCTGCCCAGGTTATTTGTAGTGCCATATCGCGTGTCATCATTATTGTTTCTGTTCTTGTTCATCATTATTTTTTCTGTTCCTAATTCTTCCACACCCTGTAACGCCTAGGGTTTAGTAGCATTACTGCTTCGCATGTGGTAATACCGATTAAAAATTCTCTAAGGTTTTTATAACAATATTGGATTCTACTTTGATGTATAATTACTCTCCAAGCTTAACAGAATAATCGTAATGAAATCGATTATAAACGAAAATGACATGTTCATCATTAATTAATCATAACCAAGGATCAAAAGCTCGTGATAATTGAAATAAAGTTGGTATATATATATATATATATATATATATATATATATATATATATATATATATATATTCCAGGATCATTTTCCAACTTATTCAAGATGATCTTTGCCCTCTCTAATCTTCTAAATTCCAGTCCTGGAGTAACAGGTTGCCTCAAAGGTTTCACGTACGATATCATTTACATATTTTTTTCACTGCTCTTTGGACTGTCATAGAACTCCTTTCTCTAGAGCCGAGCGTCATATGCATTGAGTTGTCTCTTTTCTAACTGACCTCTTTAGCTCTAAGTTGAAAGGATGATCCCTCTTCCAGTTGTGACCTTCTGATCCAATTTCCGTCTCTCCTGTTCCCTCTTTTTTTAAACTTATTCACCGATGGTTCTTGAAAGGACTTTGAAGATGAAAGCCAGTGTATGAATGTTGGTACCATTATCGAAGGCCTTAATAATCTTTTTCCTCTCACCATTACTCCGCTGGGAAGATAATGGTGCTGATACAAAACGATTTTAATCGGTTCACCTTCCAGCTAAATAATAAGAGTTTTTCAGTGTTTCTTAAGACAAATGGTGTCAAGATGGCAAAACGTCTCATTTGAAAACCTGCAAAAAAGAAACTCAATAATTTCAGTGTTTTTTTTAGATGTTAAACATTTTATGGGATGGATAATTTTGATGTTACACCATTTAACAATGTTGGTGTTACACCTGTTATATGATGTCATTATGATACTTCTCTATAAATTATAGTTTAATATATATATATATATATATATATATATATATATATATATATATATATATATATATATATATATCGGTAAAAAACACAGGTCTCGGAAAACCTTCAGTTTCTTGATTTGCTAATGGTCAAATCAATCACGAAGGAAAAAAAATTTTAAAAAAGAAAGAGCTATGAACATGAACGTCTGTCGAAAATAATCGTACAGCATACAGGTCCAAAGCCCAAAGAAAAAAAACCCGATACGAGTGCTCAAAAAGTGCTCAATACAAAAGTAGAGCAGAACTAGTTAAACTTAGAGAGCCAGACAAACCTACCAAGGTTTCACCTAAGAAGATCGTCAGGGAAAGCTAGTGAAACCTTGGTAGGTTTTGATTGGCTTTAAGTTTGACTATATATATATATATATATATATATATATATATATATATATATATATATATATATATATATATATATATTGGCTTTATTAGAAGTTGTATATTCACATGTATATATGTGTTTCGCGTATATATGCTGAAGGTAACAAACAATCAGATAATGACAAAATTTTACTTATCTTAATCTTATATAAATACAAAACACACACACATATATATATATATATATATATATATATATATATATATATATATATATATATATGAAAAATTCAGATATAATCACAAAATACCTGTAAAAGGAAAATTATGAGTAAACACAAAAAGAACACTTATCTATAAACCACAGTTGGGCTCTGTGGGTGTTGAACAAAAGCAAATGTATCTGAGCTGGTATCTGTAACAAGGCACAGTATAATAATTACATATATATATAGCTAACTATTTACTTGTATGTATGTTTATGTTTTCCTACTAATATGTATTTTGTATATATGTATATTTTGACATTTCTTTTATATACAATGGAGGTATATTTATATGCATGTATTATTACAATTTCGTGAATCATTAATATGTGTATAAGTTATATATGTGATGTCATATATATTTTGGTTTGTTACACTGCCTTCTGCTCATGTATGCTTATAGTTGGTACTATTGTGCTCACATGATCGAAGTTGGGGCTTGATCGTGCAAGTTTTCTTGTTGCTGTTACAGTGTAAACATGACCTCTCCACTAGCAGTGTGTACCAAGGAGGAACAAAGAGCAGTGGTCGCAAGTTGTGTCAAGGCTTTTCACGAAATACGGCGACAGTGCCTACCCTGTTGAAGCGTGTGTGAGTAGATCGAGAAATATGAAAGTGGCCGAAGAAGGAGCAGGCCACTAGTCAATCTCCACTGACGAGAACATTCAGTAAACTCGAAACATGGTAATAGCGAACAGATGAGTTATTATCGATGAGGTAGCCTGTTCTTTGTAGAATCGGATCTCTATTCCTTCATGTTTACACTTTAACAGCAGATAGGACTTGTAACAATTTTATGTGATTTTACAATACATATAGACAGAACAATAAAAGCTCATCGCCCAGATATTCGTAATCAAAGACCACAAAAACAGAATGTGATTTCTTACTGAGATAGCAGTCCGAGTGGATTGTAAAGTATCTTTTAAAATCTTAAAAAAAAAACTATCAAAATACAAGGACCTTGAAATGGTAATGTCAAAAATGTGGCACATGAGGATATCAATAATTCAAGTTGGAGTTGGAGCCAATGGGTTGATTAGAAAAAGGTTCCAATAGACTTATTGAATGGAAACGTAGTAGCGTATGCCTTAAAGAAATGCAAAAAAATTGTACTCACAATTTTAGCTCATACATTACGAAGAGCTTTATCTATGTAAAATGTGTGGGATCTTAGGTTTTTTTTTTATTTGCAAAATATGATCAGTGGAAAATTTCATTTCTGACCATGGGACTCTCTTTGCGGCCCGGATGAATATGTCTATACAAAAAAAAACCTAAGAAAAGACTACTACTACTACTACTACTACTACTACTACTACTACTACTACTACTACTACTACTACTACTACTAATAATAATAATAATAATAATAATAATAATAATAATAATATTTGGAGAAGAATAGGATTTAAGAAAAAGCTGTTAAACAATGTTTAACAATATTTTGATAGTATGTCTGTTTACTTCAAGTTATATTTACAGATTACAGACAAGTGTAACATATATATATATATATTCATATATATATATATATATATATATATATATATATACATGGAATTGTTAAATATAACTTAGATTGTTATACAGTCGCAATATTTTTAACATTTTTAAACACTATCATTTTTCTCTAAATGTTGAAAATATAAGTTACAACAATCATTTTTTATATAATAGTAACGATAATAATAATAATAATAATTATTATTATTATTATTATTATTATTGCTGTTGTTGTTGTTCGACCAAAAGACAAAATAAAAGCACGATAAGAAAAAAAAAAAATTTTAGAATACGCTTTTATCCTATCTCAAAGAAAAATAATTTGAAGTTGAAATCTTTTAAAAAAAGGATGTTTAAGATGTTGTATTGCGCCTGTGTAGGTCTGTAAGAAGCATATGAGGACTATATATATATATATATATATATATATATATATATATATATATATATATATATATATATATATATATATATATATATATATATATATATAAATATATATATATATATATATATATATATATATATATATATATATATATATATATATATATATATTGTATATTTGGGAAGAAATATTCTTTTATGCATGTTTAACAGAATATGACAGACGCTCATTACGTTAGATCATTAGAAAAACTTTACAAAACCGATGATTTTCTTTCATACGTTATTGAAACACATACTCACGCACGGACACGCACACACACACAATTATAAAATTACTGTGGAGAAAAGAAAAATAGTTATATATATATATATATATATATATATATATATATATATATATATATATAACCTTTCAGGCGAACAGAGTCCGACCACTACTGAAGTTTCATGCTTTTAAGCAATCGTTAGGTGGTTAACTTTTATTACACCAGATAACAAAAAATATGGACACCATGCATACATCAACCGATCTCACTTAGAAGAAAAAAAATATATATATATATATATATATATATATATATATATATATATATATATATATATATATATAGAGAGAGAGAGAGAGAGAGAGATAGTTAGATAGATAGGAACTAGTTTAGATAAATCTGAGATAGATAGATAGATAGATAGATAGATAGATAGATAGATAGATAGGTCAAACATGCTTTGATAGATAGATAGATAGATAGATAAATAGATAGATTCGAACATGCTTAGATAGATAGATAGATAGATAGATAGATAGATAGATAGATAGATAGATAGATAGATAGATAAAACTTAGTAATTTGGTTTGTTCCTTCTCCAGAGCCCAATAACTTGTACGTGCATCATTATAATTTCGAAATTCAATGTCTAAGTTTGTCTTTTAAAAACAAACTTTTAAAAAAACATTAAAAATGACAGTGGCCACAATCCCTTTAGTATGACTGTCAGTTTCCCAATATGAAAATCGAACGTCGTCATAGATGAAATTGCGTACTTTAATAAATGAATGCATGCATAAATTACCCTGAATATATCCGGGTTGTTTGAAACCATTTCATATTGAAGATAAAGAGACTCAGAGTTAGGCATGCGTACATCAACACACCGACTAAAGTGTAGCAAATAGCAACAAAAGAACACATTAAAGAAACCATAACTATACTGTCCACCCGATGAGCTGATATCAACTTTTGTGTGCACACTTGGCGTTAATCAACTACATATGTATATGTTCAACTGCAGGTAAAGATTACATTTCGATCACGTGGTAATATCCTCCCCCATTGAGCAAGACAGGCAGATGCATTAAATTTCATGTTCAACCTTCAAATTCCTTCCTGCAGTTTTGTATTTGACCCCTGTTTTTGAATCTCCTTTACTCGTAGAATTTTGTTTTATAAACACCGTCTTTGTACATTTTTCGTAGTTTTTTTTTTCTTTCTTTTTAAAAAGGATTTGAAATAGCGTTCTTTTATATCTTTTTTTAATGGTGTTTAATGTAGCGTGGAGAATCGTCTTTGCTTGTTCAGACCAGTCAAAGTGTTCGAAAGAGAGAAAAGAAAACGTCGAAAAAAAGAAAAAGAAAAAAAAGAATAGCAGAAAGAAAGAAATAAAGAAAGAAAGGAAGATAGAAAAAGAAGTAAAGAAAGAAAAAGAAAGAAAGAAAAAAAGCAAGAAAGAAAAAAAGAAAGAAAGAAAAAAAGAAAGAAAGAAAAAAGAAAGAAAGACGTGGTTTATAAAAGATTGAGAGAATGAGAAAAGATTTACGTGAAAATAAAAAGTAAATATAAACAGAAAAATACAACATAAAATAATATATCACCACTAAAGCAGATCAAGGACTTTTTTTATGTGCCCTGTCCCTTCAGAGTGTGGGTGATCATGGCTCTCCACAAATTCCTATTCTCATAATGGATATATTAAAAAAAAATCAAATAAAAAACAAAAAATCAATCTATATATTAACGCAAGTGATCACCCCACCCTTTCAGTCTGTCATCTCGAGTGGCACTTAGGCCTTATTTCGGATGAACATAATTGTAAAAGAAAAAAATGATTGCAAGCGGTTTGCAAATGACAATATATACGTGATCTAAAACTACATCCCGGAGCTGCCGGGGGGAAAGATGGATTCATGCCTTTACCAAGAGTAATTGTGCGAAATTAAACTCTGCTGTCATTCATTCCCACTCCCTTTACGCCATCTCGTTAGGTAGGTTCGTCTCTGTTTCCCGCTTGCCTTCAATATATCTTGTGAGTATCAAATTCTCCAAGCTTGCTTTCTTCATTATATCTCCCTGAAATTCGAACACTCACTTTCTGGTTTTAAGTATAAATGTATTTTTTATTCCCGTTTACCTTAACTTCCTTGTTGATCACGTGGTCCATCAATGGCATTTTCAGCATACTTTTTTTTTAAATTTAGCTCCCCAAAAATACAAAAAAAAAAAACAATACCTAAGGTTTCAAATGAAATTTTAAAAATGAAAGTCTTCATTGAAGCTTCTATTTTAGTCTTAATTTCAAACTAATAGATTAAATTTAATATTTTCAATAATCAAAATACTTTGCTGTATTTCAAAAACTAATTTGAATTGAATAGATTTTTTTTTGTTGCATTTGCTAAAATAACTGATTATCACCCTTATTGATCGTCTTTCATTGCAATGTAATCCTCTTTATTAAAAAAATCTACCAATCAAAATATACTTTTCTGAAACTTTATTTGCTGAATAAAAGTATAATTAATCCGAGTTGAAACAACTTTTATTTACTTTAAGTTTAAAATATCGAAAAAATTATTAGCTGTTTATTTAAGCCGTTCCCGCGTTTAACCGCTTATTCATAGATTGAGATTATGTATGTTGTTCTATGGGAGATTTTGATATTAAAAAAAATAAGTGAATTAATGTGGGCGCCTTCTATATATATATTTTTTAAGTACTCAGTAATCTTGAAAATGTAATAAAATATTCTTCGTAATCTAATGTTTTACTGAATTTTAAACAATTTGTCTGCGAATTTACTATAGTTGTCGCTCTTATTTTCTGATTATGTCGTGTATGGTCCACCATATAATAGAAAATAGGCATGTTTATAACTATAAAAAGAAATTCAAAATTCTTTTAAAGATATTGGTGTCTGATAGTTTGTAATAAGCTTATCAATTTAGTATTAGCCAGTATAGCTTTTAGTTAATAACAATATAACCTAACCGGTCCAGAAATTTAAAAGATTTAAAAACCCGTACAGAAATTTGAAATATTTAAAACTTTATAAATTATTCTAATTAAAATTTAAAAAAACAAACAAAACATTTCTTGTAAAAATTCATTATTCATCGAATATTTTTATTCTTAGGACAATAGTTTCCATAATAGATGATATTCATAAAAACAATTATATTAACAGCTTTTATAATTAAATAATGTATTAGTTTGATTGCAGTTTTTATTTAAGATTCAGGACAGATTTTCGGTAAATGATTTGCTTTTTGAAAAAAAATATGCTGATTTACATTCTCCAATGAGTCCTGTTTTTAATATAATATAATATAATATAAATGTGAAGCGGGTCAAAATTTAATTTCTCGAAATTTCATTAAGTAAGCGGAGATATGTGATGTATAAAAAATTTATGTCTCTACCAAGATTTTGTATGAAGAAACATTTCTAAATTCTCATTACTTTGTGAATAAGTCCTGAAAGTTACATTAAAATCTGACAATTATTTGATTTTTGCAAGAATTTCCAAATCAATGAGTTTTTTTTGTTTTGTTTTTTGTTTGTTTTTTTTTTACTGGAAAAAAGGCGCTAAAATTCCCATAGTAATATTTGGCCCAATGCTGAAGCAAAAAGGAACCAGATTTTTAACCAAAATTCCGAACGTGGTGAAAATAATAAAAAATTAATAAAATATTACAAAAATAATTTGGTCTTTCGTCTTAATTAAAACAAACATTTTGACGATAAAACTATGTTTTCATCAAGTTTGGGACGTTTTTTCATCATGGTATGTACTTTTTTAGTGAATAAATGGAAGTACCTACTTTTTTAGAACCATATAACTACTGCCTCTAATCTCTTCATTTATAAAAAAATTCTAGACGCATATTGTTCAGCTTTCATTGCCGTATAGCAAGTTTCATATTACATATCAATTGAACATGTTTTTATGCTGTTTCTAACGAAATCTTCCTGTTTCTTTGTACTTTTGGAAGTCATATTTTGAAATCCCAGTGCTTTTTCGGAATTCTGTGTACACATTTTTCATTGTCTGTTATAACACTTACCATATAGTTACATTTCTGTAGATTCTTGATTCTGCCGTCTCCAATAGAAAACACACATTCACGGGCTGTCTCTTTTGCTAACGACCAAATGTTCTCTGTTTTTACAACTGATGATTTCTCCTTTCCTTTAGATTTCCTTTATAACATGTCTATGGTTGTTTGCTGCATGGGCGTTATCTCATCATGTTATGCTGCTAGAGTCCACCAATAAATCTTGGTAGGAGTTTTATATCAAGAACTAGCAGCATTTATTAAGACATGACATTCTATTTGAATACTGTTTTGATTTCTGAGTTTATTTCTAATGGAAATTGACAAATCATTAACTATTACGTGTTTCACGTAGGCAACAAGCTATTTAAAACACTTACTAACACAAGAAAAATCATATAAAAATTTAATCGCAGTACTTTCTCAGTTGCTTTTAATGAAACATTTATAAAGGAGGATTGCCTTTGAATACACAATTAACAAAATACATGCCCCTGCTGCCAGCAAATAACACTACAACATTCGAAAAAAAAATTGTTTTTAGACATATATATATATACATATATATATATATATATATATATAGAGAGAGAGAGAAGATAGATAGATAGATAGATAGATAGATAGATAGATAGATCAAGGAAAAACTTAACGCATCATCAAAAATACGGTTATAAATTATAATTTATTTCAACGTATAAGTTTTTAACAAATTCGTCTCATCAGACCGAAGTAATTTCGTGTTTGTAATTTTCGGTCTGCTGATTACATAATTTCCGTGTTTTCGATGACGCGGCAGTTTTTTTTCCTTGTTATATATATATATATATATATATATATATATATATATATATATATATCTTATTGCCCTGTATACTGTACATTAAGCTCTCTTTATGGATCCATATTTTAATATTTATATTAAAAAGATCTATTTGGATTATACTTTCCACTTACGGATTTGATGATATTATCTATCTATCTATCTATCTATCTATCTATATATATATATATATATATATATATGCAAATTTTATATATATTATTTATATATTATATATGCGCGGTACGTTTGGAAAGCGTTCAATATCAGTGATAGAGCTAACATATTTAGTTGGATTAATGTGAGTTTGTGACCTGGGTTTCACGCTATTTGCGATCGTCAGACAAACTGAATAATTTTTAAATTTTTGATTTCTGTATAGTTGCGTATATCGGTGTTTTTATGGTAGTGGGAGGAAAAATTGTCGTCGTAACGCCACTCATACTTACGCATACATACATACACACACGTACACTCATTGGAGCTCACACAAACATAAACTAATGTGAACAGTCAGGGACTGGGCATATATGCGCATCCATATATCGTTGCGTACGATACAGTCTGGAAAATGCGTCTGTATGTACAACACACATGTATGCCCAGGGTCACAATTTCACATTAATCCAACATATATATATATATATATATATACACACACACACACATATATATATATATATATATATATATATATATATATATATATATAAATGAGAAGCCACGTATTTTTCTTAATATGTATATATAGAAAAAAGTTGCAAATTAAAAAAAATAATAATGTTTTTTATGAAAGTATTTATTTATATATATATATATTTGATATTTCAGATTGACCTCAATCTTTCTTCAGAAATACCTGTTTGTCACAAATAGATTTATATATATATATATATAAATAAATAAA